CCGGCTCGGCCCTTCAGGAGGCACCGCGCGCCTCCGCCTGGTCTTCTCTGAGACCGAACAGCAGCAGCCTTGGAGAAGCGCGGCCAGGAGCTTAATGGGGGGGGGGGGGGGAATAATAATAATTCTTTAGAAAACAGCTGCAACTTCAAGTGTCTTATTTGTTTATTTATTTAAATTTCGGTTCCTTAGTCTCTGGGGCAGTTGTATTTGGGAAAGGGTTGAGGCTGGTGTTTAAGCAGCCCGGTGAAAAAAAATTGAGGAAAGCATTAAAAAGTGACCCAGGGAAGAAAAATCAAGAGACTCCGTTCTGAGTGTAAGAAGATGTGGCTTTGTCTATTGCCTGGCGTGCTGCATTAATTTGTTCTTGTTTTGTCTCTACAGCGTGCTGTGGCGAGTTTAATGTGGAGCTTTATTGTTTTCTTTTTTGTTGGTTACCTGAAAAAATGAATTTAGTTTTTTTGTTATGTTTTTAAACCCATTATGGTTCAAACCTTCTTTTAAGGCAGTCGAGAAAATACATGTTCTTGTGTTACTGAGATTTCCCGATCCTGCGTGAAGTTTGTAGGAAAACACCAGAAGGTGTATGTGATACCCTGCTGGATTAAGACCTTCCGGTGTTTTCATGTTTTCTCTCAGTTTAGAGAGTTCAATAGTCAGCTATTTTTAGTTTTGGTAAAAAAATTCTCTTTCAAAAGAAATAAAAATCATATAGGAATTCCCTGCGACCCTGTTAGCGTGCTTTTAATAACTTTTTTTGCCTCTCTCAAGTGCCTCTGTGTGGCAACGTTCAGTGGCCTATTTATAATATAAAGATTTCCTAGACTGAAAACAAGACGAAGGCAGACTTTAGACTGTCCTCAGACTTTGGCATTGTTAGAGATGTGGCATATCTCTGCCGGGTAAATGACCTGCTGGTTGTTGCAGCAGACTGTTGTAATTTTTTCCTCATGGCTTGTGGGAAATGTAAACGGGCCATATACCCAGAGAAATTTTCGGTGCAGCTGTGAAATGTCCTTTACTGTGTAGGAAATCCTAGGAATTACCTACTCATTTCTTTAGTGTTCTTTCCAACGTGAACTTGCACAGATCTTTTATTTTGCTCCTGGAAGGGGTTGCGGTGAAGCTTCTGGCCACCAACTCAAGGTGGTGCAGAAGAGTGTGGCCAGCGTGGGTGGAAATACAGAGACAGAGATGAGCGTTCACAGAGCTGGGTGTCTTGAGAGGCTGCCGAGGTGGGTGTTGGAAGCCTGATTTCTGGGGAATCCCTACCAGACAGAGCACTGTTTTGGTGTCTGATCAGTGTTCACAGACTGATGGGGCTGATTTGCTTGAGACATATGGCATTTAGCAGTGGCCGTATACCCATGTCTCCTTCTGTCTTTGAAATGCCACCAGAGCTTTGAGGCCGTCCTGGACTTTGGGATGGAGTGGAGGTTACCCGGAGCTGCTTGCCCTGAATCTTGCTTTGCTAGGTGACCACTCGTTTGCTGCTGCTTTTTTGGAGGTGTGTGCAATAACAAATGAGAAGGTAGACTGATTATTTCCCTGTTGCTCACTGTTGTATCAGTCTGCTAGCGGAATAGCCTGCTTTTTTTAATCTAACACTGTTTTTCATGCATTAAATAGGCAGTGAAATGCTTTTGCATATTGATATGATATACATACCAGTTAGGTGATGTGAGCTGGCTCATGGGGATGGTAGATAGACCATGCAGTGAGTAATTTGACTGTGGTACTTAAAGTGCAATGTAGGGCAGTTTCCGTGTTCATTTTTGTTTTAAATTTTCCTCCTCCATCATCTTTCTCCCTTGCCTTTTGCTTTGAAACCTGGCAAATGGTAGGGCTTGGGCAGATGGGCACCACATGTAGTTAAGCTGAAAAGGGAGAGTTTCTCCGTGGAGAATTACAGAGACACCCCGGTTCAGTAGGTAGCAGCACTGTCATGGGTACTGCACTCAAGGAAGGATGTACTGATCTTTTTGAGGTGGTATCAATGTTTGGAAGAACTAAGCACAGGTTTGCAGAATACAGGTTCTGGTAGTATGTTTAACCATGAAAATGATTTGTCTGGTCTAGAGGGCCTGTCCTGCACTGCAAGATGTATCCATGATGTCCAATAGCAGTTCACATTGCATACCAATGTGGACTACTTTTTTCTTGACGCGTGGCTGATTATGGAAATCCTATCATGCCTGGCAGAAGGTCGGCAGAGAGGTCCTGACTGTTATCTTGTCTTGTCTGGACTCTGGAGATCAGAGGTTGATTGGTGTTCACGACCAGCCGGACAACAGCAGGACTGCTCTCTAAGACCACAAGTGCTTTAACCGGCTGACATTGTTTTTACCAGGTAAGAAATTCTGAGGAGTTTCTGCGATTGTGGCATTGTGTGTTGCTCCATTATTATTATTATTAATATTTTTACTACCGTATTAGCTTTCCAGTAATTGCCCAGTAAAGCTGGGAAGTTACCTTCCTATCTGCCCATGTGGGGAAGAGTTATGATGACAGATGTGGGCTCAGGGTGGATTTGCTGAGCTCTTAATCCTGTTTGTGGCTAACAAGCTGTGCTAATGTAGAAGGGCATCTCTTTCAGTATATAAAGGTCTTAACTGCTTGCTTCCTTAGGGAAATGTGCTGTTACAATGCTGTAATTGTCTTAGCTGTAGTGGCAGGCCATGAGGTAGACAACGTAAACCTCTACAAAAATGCAGGCTATTCAGTTGTCCGCCCCACTTTTTTTTTTTTTTTGGAGAATTTACCTGTTAAGACAAACCCTAAAATAAATGCTGTGGGCAGAAGAGGAAGCAAGCTCTGTATACTAGTTCTGGCAAACAGCCAGAGGTCAGATGTTTGTATATACACCTGTATCTTGAGGGGATGAGAATGTGTGATAATATTCTCTTTGTTGTCTCTGATTTACTTTTTTTTATTTGACTGTTTATTTTTCCCCCTCTCTATCTGGCTTCATTTGATTTGTTGTTTGCTGTTTTTAGTTGTTCTCCGTCACTTCTTCATCTTTTAAAAACGTGAGTTCCATGCTTTTAGATGTCAGTGTGACTAGAAGTTTCAGACCACTTTTGTCTTTAGAAATCCTGGAGAGCCTTTCCAAGCATAGAGCATGCCCAATTGAATTATTTTGTATTAATGTTTTTAAAGTGTACTAAGTGTATTTCCAACTTGGCAGAGATCTCTGTCTAATCCATCAGTGTTTTGGTCAAAACCTAATGTGAATAAATATTTGGACCTGGTAGGACTTACTTCTGGAGTTTCACATGTGTAGACAACATCACTTTCCACCCTATATAATTATTGTGTGTTATTTAAGCAGTTACCGTATTAAAGATGGTGGCTACACTCCTGGGGTCAAAAGACTTATCCTGTGTAGTTTGCTGTTGAGATTCTTTGGGGCTGAAAAGCTTTGAACAAAGTAACTGCTTGCCTTCCTCTTTCCTAATTTGCAATACTAAAGGCATATGCAAGATAGTGACCTTAACTCCATGTTAACCAGGTGGTTTTGGAGGGTGTTGGTAGAACTAAAAACTGAAACCAGCTAGGGTACGTGATTTGTACCACTTGCAGTACGTATCACTTTGTTCTTGGGATTCTCCTGAGCAGAGGCAGCCAAAAGTGCTAAAATACTTTTATTTTTTGGTTTATATCAAGCAGTATCTGTAATACCTGTAAAGGAAGGCAGTATCTGTGAATCATGCATTCCCTGTCTAATTGGCTTATGAAAATTAGAGACTCAGCGAACGTGTCGATCTTGAGGAATTCTTTTCGTTTTTTTCCTTTAAGTAGTGAATAATGAATGCTTGGCTTTTCTCACAGTCTGTTACAGGTGCCTGTGGACTTCCTGAGGTGAAGGGACATTAGAGAAAGAGTCTAAATATATGTAGAGTGAGTTGATTCTGACTCATTCAGGTGCGTGTTGACTTTCTAGAACGTTATGGCAGAAGACTAGAAGAGACAAATGTATGAGGATTTTGTCGTTTGGCCAGATGTGCAATAGAAAGAAGGCTGAAACTCATTGTCAGACTCATCAACACCTGCTAGTCAGGCTAGACTGTAAACTTGTGCCTCATGCGTTAAAGCTTTGTGCCAGCTAGCCTCTTATCTACTCCCTTTCACCATCTTTATCTTCCATGTGAATTGCACATCTCTTTTGCAAGACTTTTTCTAATGATCCTTCTACTTGCATTCTAATTGTGTTGTGTATTTCTTTCTTTTTTTACTCCCAGCTGTTCTTTATCACTTTTCCTAATTTTTTTAGTTGTACCGTTAGATTTTCTTTTTCCCCTTCTTCTGTACCCCCCTACCGTGTTGTTTACATTTGTTCTTCCTTTACTTTCATCTTCTTACATTTTTCCCCTTTTAACTCTTATCCTCAGAGGAACCAGTTTCAGTCTTGGAGACCAGCCCTTTCTTATTGATTGCCAACTGCTTTTATTGAAACTAATTTGCATTCTCTGCTCTTATTGTGCTAGACAGAGGACTAGTGATCTTGAGTAAGGCTCTTTCCCCCAAGGCTTTGCTCAGAAGTTGTCTCTGTATTTCACGGCAAAAGTGGAAAATAAAGAGCATCATCAGTGCAAAAGCTGCTTCTGCCTAAACCAATGTGTTTACATATTTGTTGCAAGGAAAGTGGAAATGTGGCATGTGTTGCTGCTGGCACAAATGACTTCTGCAGGCAGAAAGGAGGTGGGTGTGGGAGTGTGGAATGCTGTGATCTATGATATTTACTTATATGGGCACCCATTAAAGTATAGCACTAACAAACCCAATCCATTTTGACTGAAACTGTTTATTGCCTCTGCATTTTTGTTTACAGGCACTTCTCTCGTGGTGATTTTTGGCCATAGGCAGCTCTCAAAAAAATTATTAAGAAAGCAGATATACTAGGGTTAAAGAACTGTGACTCTGCTGTAGTAAACTTGAAAAAAATGAAAGCAAAGCAAAGTCATTCTTTTTTTTTGTTTTTTTGGCCTTTAATGCTGTAGGTACTGTCTGCATTGATAGGCTCTTAGATGAGGCTCTTCAGTAAGGCTGTTTGAGCCTTATATTGATGAGTGTAAAAAGCTCGAGTTCAGCCTGTCTTAATCTGGGGCTTTGTACCATGCTAGAGGTATGGATAAGCATGCTTTGGATGTACTAGACCTACGGCATATATGCATTTCAGACAAAACCATCTTGTTCTCAGACTGCTTTATATTTAGAAGTTGATCTCACTGCTCTTTCACTGTTTGTCAATTTAATTTTGTTTGATGCTTAGAGAGGTGTTCTCTGGCCATGATATAGTGCTCACCACCAGACCTGAAGACGAGGTGTGCTATATAAACCCATTATTAAAACTCACTTAAGTGCTTTATGTCTTATGGTTCATTTGCTAGTGTGGCTGACCACTGGTAGTTAAATGGCAGTAACATTTGTATGTAGCATCTCTGCATCATGAAAGATCTTGTGCTTGGCTTTGACACCCGGGTAAAAGGACGACAAAGACAAGAAAGTGTGCGGATTAAGCTGCAGGGCGCAGCTTTTAATTACAAAAGTGCACCCTCAAACATAGCTTGGGTATATAGGTCTCATCATACAACTAAGATTGAGGATCCCAGACCCTTTCATTGGATGTTACTGGGTAAAAAGGAAGAAGAGACTATCCCATCAGGACTTGCTTCTTCTGGTGATTGGGATGCTTGGCCTACTAGTTAGATACTTACTATTGTATGCCAGTCCCTGGCAATACTGACTGCCAGACTAGCTACAGGTGGACTACTGGTCTGGTCTTCAAGTGGCACCGGGATCAAATACGGCTCTGATCGTGCAGGCACATCCCCCAAAAAGCTCAGGGAGTTCACCTGCAGAGTTACTTGTCTGTTTGTTTTTGCAAACTAAAGTCTGCTTAGAAACCAATTTACCTGCTGTCACAGGGCGGCCTACTTTGGAGTAAGAGAGCTTGCTGTTAAATTGTAGGACAATTCAGGATAGAAACGGACAGATAAACATCTGTCTTAAATGGCTTGAGGGGTTTAGTTGACAGTGCTTCATTGCATCATTATTTTCCCCCATCAGAAAAACTCCTTTTTACTGAGCTGACGCTATCTGAAGGCATGGCTTGTAATTGTAGTTGTGTAAACTATCAAATATGTTAAGAGGCTTAGAGACTTGGAGTTATTTGTGCTGAAGGGCTTTGGCATGGAGGAAGAGGTGCATGCAAACTTCTCCTTGCCTAAATATTTAGGTTTGATACCATTAATCAGAAGTCTGGATACTGGTTATTGCTACTGAACTGAGATTGTTTCAGGCTGCAGACCAAGCCTTAGCCCATTTCCCTTCATTGTTTAAGTCTTTCCCTCAGTGGTAAGAGAAACATTTTAAAAGGATAGAAAACAGTGTTTGTAAAAATAAGATTTGCCTTGAAATTTGATTACTTGAAATACTTTTAACAACCTTTTACATTTCTAAAAGTTTGTGCTAGTTTACTTGGCAGTCTTTCTGTTACTAATTTAGTTAGCGTGTTAGCTTACTGTAAAATAATCTAGCTCTAGCAAACATATTTTTGCATTTTTTAAATGACATTATAGATTGGGGAAAAAGGAAGGGAAAGATTTATTTTTGCTGTGCTGTCCATGTCTTCTGCCTACAGCAGAGCCTTGCAGAGTGAGAGAATCCAAAGGTGAGACCTGTCTGTTCTGTGTCCAAACTCAGCAAAAAGTGAAAGCCAGCAGCAGGCTTGAGAATCCATTTGACTTTTCAGATCCTTGTCTCCGTTGATAACAGGATGGATTATTAAAAAAAAAAAGAATCATATTCAGTAGCAGAGAAAGTTAATAAATGTGTTGTGTGCTTAAGGGGAGGCAAGGGGATTTTCGAATGCCCAGAGAAACTGGTAAGAGTACGTCTTCGTAACAGATGCAATAACAAGTGGAAACTCAAGTTGGTGGCATGTACTATGTGTATTAACCCTGAGCACCTCCCAGGCTAATTATGCCCCTTCTAACACAGCTAGGGTGTATCTGTACAACGCCTTGCAGACTGACCCACGCTTTTCTGCCCACACGCTTGAATGATTAGATAGGAGTTGAATCTTGTCTGTAAGCCTTCTAGCTTTATTTCAGTGCTGTGCTCCATTTAAAATGTGACTCTGAGGGACTGGTCTTTTTAGCTTGGGCACAGCACCACTGTTAAACCGCTGCAGCTTTTGAACTGGAGGTGCTTTGCATGTGCCCTGCTGTGGGCGTGCAGGGGAAACTCGGATCTGCCTGTGGTTTACCCTCCTGATGTGCCTCATCACTGGCTGTGGTCATTCGGACCTGTTTACTGCTAGCTTAGCTATTTGCTCATGCCACTTCC